TATGATAAGTATTATGAGAACATTTAGTGGACTCAATTAAAAAAAATGGCACTGGAATTTATATTAAAAATAATAATTATTTATTTAGCATATGAGTGTTGGTATCAAATCAAAATAGTTGAAATAGGGATAATTTCATATATTATTCATAAAGAAATTGGTTAAAGCTAAAAAAGTTGATAAATGATTGTTTAAAAAATATATATTCAATTTAAAATTAAAAAAAAAAAAGATAAATTGTATAAAAATTATAACTAAGGTGAATCATAACTGAAAGATTTAAAAGAAAATTTTTTTTAATGAAAAATATCTATATATTCATACTTGATTCAATAAACACAATAAGAATTAGACTTTCTGCGTTTAATTGAACTCTGTCCCCCTCCCATTATACCCTCTAAAAGATAATTTTAGTTTAATATTTATTCCTTTTCTTTTTGACAAAAGCTTAATAAAATTTTTATTTGGATCAATTTAATCTTTTTTCCTATGATTTTTGATACGGCAGCATCATTTATACATGCAACAAAAAAATTATAAAAGAAGCCAATATTATCTATCAAAATCAATTTAAACAGTACTGAATGTTTCGTTCTTCATTTCGGTTATTCAATTCCGTAGGGTATGAAACGATTCGTGTATACAAATATATGAACTATATTGATTATTTTTTAAGTTAAGTTCGTTTGAAAGAAAATTAAATTGCAAATAATTATTTTTCAATTTAGAGTAATTTTAACTTTATTTTCAGAATAATTAACTAATATTCAAATCCATTAATGATAAAAAAACCAGGTCGTAAACATAACGTCATAGTATATTTTTTTTTTCTCCCTTGAAACATAATTTCCACACTGGCTTCATAATATGACTATTTTAACGTTACTAAACTTTGTGCTTACAATTTATTTTTTCGTTCCCAAAAAGGTTTTCCTTTAAATTTATTAAAGATGGCTTTTGTTAATTGTATGACCTAATTTTTGAGTGCACAATGACTTTACGAGGGCCCCCATATAGAACCAAGAGTCAATAGTTTTAATGATGCAATAAATTGGCACCACTTGCAAAAGCTTTAAAACACACGTACGTGAGAGTGGTGACACTTACAACAAGTGGTCCAAAATAACTATGATTTGATCCAATTATACATGGCCAAAGGGTCGCCCGGCCCGTCGACCCGGCACTGACACGGCCCGGTCAAACCCGTTGACCACGGGTCTGAAACCGGCCCGGATTTCAGACGGGTCGTGTAAGGGTCATACATTTCATGATCCGGCCCGGAGGGTCAGGGCCGGGCCAGGTCAATGACCCTTCTTTTTAATTTTTTTTTTATTTTTTTATATCTTTTTTTAAAAAAAACATGGACCCGGCCCGGACCCGGCACGAGTATAAGTCCGTACCGGTTCAGGGTCAGTGTTTTTTAGCCCGGCGACCCGACGAGCCGGGCCAGGTCGTGACCCGGCCCGGGTTTTGGCCATGTCTAGATCCAATCGTTTCTCTAATTGGGTTATCAATTCTTGAATAGGCAGTCAATTTTTTTGATAAAAGATAATTAAGAGTCGTGGAAAGCAAGTATTTCAAAGTAAATAATGGATGCTGAATTCAAATAAGAAAATCAATTAAAGGCGAGTTGTATAATTCAACGGAAGGCAAAATGGGTGACCGCTTCTTCTGACATTATTGAATAGTCTCGAGCAGCAGGGACAGTTAAGAATCAAAGTTTAGGTACGATAATTATTGATTCGTGATTAGGATATCTTGTCTCAAACCACCACTTCACAAAATGTGCTATGGTTCGAATTTCAAATGAAGATTCATATTCTACGGACAGAAAAGATTTTAAATATGTTAGGACCCAAATTCAACGTTCAGCCCACACGAGTTTCTTGAAATATATATAGAGAGAGAGAATTACCATCAAGTGAAAATTGCGCTTATAATGAGAATAATTATCAACAATTATATGTATATGTATTGTATATAACTTCCTATATAAATATAAATTTTCTCGAGTCTAAGGTGCATTCATTTACTAATTTTCAAGGATTTTTCAGAATTTTAAGAATCCTCGTGTATTCAGAAGCGTAGCCAGAAAATTGTTTCACTCGGAGCTGAAAACGTGTGGTTGTTATTCGAATCGAGTTGTCTGTCAATATAGTTCTAGTTCTATTTCACTTGTGAAAGTTCGAGATCGATTCGCTTATATAATTAAACGATCCTAACTCAAACATCTAATCGAGTTTGTCTATCAAAAAAATCGAGTCAAAAGGTTGCTAAGGTTTTCACCTCACCCTAAAGGCTGCAAACACCGCCTATTAATAAGTTAACTTTTTCACCACCACTAAAAAAATGAATTATGTGATAAACTATGCGACACACAGGCGAAAATAATTGATAAAATATTTATGCGGTAAACTATGCGACAAATAAACAAATTTAATTGATAAAGTACAAAATAGTTATGCGACAGACATGCAAAATTAATTAATAAATTGTGAAATAATTAGGCAATTAAATATGCGATAAACATGCGAAGATAATAGAGCAAATGCGATAAACTATAGGACAGGCAGGCGAAGTTAATTGAGCAAGTGCGAAACCATTATGCAATAAACGATGCAATAAACAAATGAAGATAATCAAGCAAGTGTGATCTCATTATGCGATAAACTATGCGACAGATGAATGAAGTTAATTGAGCAAGTGCAAAATAGTTATACGTTCAACAAAATAATTGAACAAGTGGGATATCATTATACTATAAAACTAGTACAAATCTCGTGCGATGCACGGGTAAGACATATTCATTAATATTTATAAATTAAAAATGTTCATTAGATAATATTTATAAATTAAAAATATGGAATCAAACACAATTTACTTATATTAATTTATTGAGAACGTTATATGAAATTTAAATTGCAAAATTACATAAAACATCATATGAATTTGTTGAAAACATTATATGAAATTTAAATTGCAAAATTACATCAAACATGTCAATTTAAAATTAATACATTTTATACCAAAATTCCATACCGTTTAAATTCGAACATTTCATACGAAAATAAAATGGTCTATTTTATACTATAAAATTGAATATTTATTAATAACGACACATTTCCTACCAAAAATAAAAATGACCATCGGATATCTAAAATAAAATCGCCCACTTTATACCAAAATCCAATTTATTAATTTTGCTAACTTTATAACATAAATTGATTAATTAATTTCTAGAGGTGGGAATTTTTTTAAAATATTTCATAAAATATTACCAAGTTTAGTAATTTTAAAATTTTAAGTAGTATTTTAGTTTCTATTTAATATAAATACAAACCTTTTTATATATACATAGATATAGACTTTGACCACGTAAAGATACGATTTACGGAAACATAATCTATGAACAAAAAAGTAATAGTTAAATTTTAATTTAATCACATAGATAAGATAGTTTGTTAAACATACAGTATCCAAATTCTAGGAAGTAGTCCGGAGAATTAATTAAAATTAGTCGGTAATTTGATGTTGAAAAATTGCATCAAGTCAAGTTTTAATGAATATACGTATTATATGAAATGAAAATTTCTCAATAAGTTAAAAAGTTAATCGACATTATATACGTAAATCAGATCAAATTATATAAAATGTAATAAATATATTATTTGAGTTTAGGATTAGAAACTCTTCCGCAATCATTTCATAAAATTAGTCAGATAGTATAATAATTAATGAAAAAAGTTTAATCTAACTTTAGTTAAACTATGAGATTATGCCATAGCTATTTTTTTTATTATTTCATTTTTTGTACAATTTAATATGTTGTTCATGTATTAAGTTCAAACATAGTCAATATTATATTATGTATTGTTTTAACATATTACAATTGTTTGATTTCTCTTAATTTTTAGGACGAGAACATCACGGAATATGATAATGAATTGATGGTATTATACTCAATTACAAAATCATAATAATTATAACCAATAAATCCTAAAAGGAAAAATATTTGAATAACGCGAATTTGTGGCACAAACTTATTATAATGGAAAAAATTTAGTATATTAGAATTTAATCACTTGCAGAAAATTTCGAAAGCAAAAAAACAAATGCATTACGAATTAACATTAGAGAATTCAAATTTACTAATAAAATCACCATGGATTTAAACTAATGACCGTGATTTAAGGATGCATTTAATGTTGTCCAATTTAAAAGAAATAAAAAATAAAGTTACTAATTATGGACTTGCAATTAATATTTCCAGATTTTTTGGTTACTATTTTTGGTAAATAGTAATTCTTATTATATATATATAGATATGCGACATATAGGCGAAGCTAATTGAGGAAGTGCTTAAAGATTATGTGATAAACTATGCGACATATAAACGACGAATACGCAAAGAATTGTGTGAACAATTCGGTCAATTATCAACTTTTCGTGTAAGACATAGAAATGTCGTCTTCTTGGAAACGTTGTACCAGAACCACGTGGAGGAGGTATTCAACATCCTTAATCCCAAAGTTTCTAAGAATGAAAATCCCCAAAGCAATGAGGTGGAAGATCGTGGATCCGATCGAGATCAACAACCAGAGGAACCTGACGAAAAACGATAAGGACGACTATATGAATTGATCGAGCATATGCTTATCAAAGACAAGAACTATGAAATTATAACATGAACCTATGGTCGAAATGCTGAGGTAAACGATCTTAACCATAAGAAATACAAAATACAATTATTATTATTATTATTATTATTATTATATTATACATAGTGATTGGGATGTGGATGAAATTTTTTGGACTTCATTTATCCTAATACATGACATTTCAGTTGTCTTATAATCATTTATGTAGTATTTGTAATATTAATGCAGAATGGCTGTTCGAATAACGGGTTTGCCACTAAAATGTGAGCTATTATGCAACTGTTTCACAACGGCAATGCAATACATTTGTTATTGTCATTAAAAAAAATACAGACTGGTTAGCCTCGAAGGCCCTTACATGTTTGTTCTAGAAAGCATTACATATACAATAATCTTCCGTAGTTTAATCTATTACAAACATTCACCAACGCATTACTTTCAGTATACAAACCAACATCTTTTTAACATTTATTTATATACACAAGATTCATGCAGGATCTAAAAATTTAATCAGCCATCCAGTAGCTGCTTTTCGGAATGCTACGCCTCAAAATATTCAACACCACACCAGACACATTACCATAAGCACACCATAACAATAACAACCATGGTAAAAGTACAAAATACATAAAGAAACACCTTCAGCAGTAGCTGCTTACATGATCATGCCCTAATAATGTGGGTAATGTGATGTATGCATATTCACGCAAAACCAATGATAATAGGAATTAGACAATTCTAAAAGAAACTTGCTCCAAGGTGAGCATAGCTTCCCACACTTGAAAGTTTACATGAGAAACCAATTGGAGATGGAAATGCTATTTAGTTTGCCATACCCTGTTAATATATATGTTCACATGAGAGCTGGTATTGCAAGAAAAATTAGAAGGCCATCACACATTTCTACAGTCTCCATGAAGCAAATTTAATTACAAACATAAAAGTAACATTTCAGTTATGAACATGCGAACAAACTGGGCATATGAACAAATACGAATGAAAATACCACTGACTGACCAACTTTTGCTACATTCTGGGGCAGAAATATCAATATTATTTTAAACTTTTAAACTCCCCCACACCAGTTAAATTCATTAGAAGACCCAAAACCAGGACACAACTGAACCAATAGCCAAACCAAAGATGAGATACAACACCGAGACAATCCCAGCAGTCTCGGCATGCTGTATCTGGACTGTTTTCGGGGCCAAAATCATCAAGACACAAGTGAAGTACCCATTTGTAAGGCCCAGAAGACACGTCAACACTGTAACAGGAATCTCTGTCCTGAAAATTTCGGGACCGTGCAAACAAATGTAGAAAAGGGGCAAAAACAACAACCTCCCAAATGAAGCACCAATAGCAACTTTAGCGTTGTCCATAAGATACAATGGGGTCAATGTTTTACCGATGAGGTCAAATATATTATAACCCGCAATTAAAATAATTGGATACCAGTCCTTGAGGATGGCCGAATGAACATCCTCTGTAACTGAACCAGGAAAAATGCTTAAAGTCACGACGTATATGACCAAGATTCCCGATCCATACCATTTTACGGCCCCAACGATGTCCCATAATGTCGATCTCCATAGCTTCCCAGTGATGTCACCTTTCTGCTCCTTCTCCTCATTTACGGCCACGCTTTTGAGGTCTTTGTAATATTTGATAACGGGAAGCCTATGAGCCACATTATAGAAAATTATGTTTAATAGCATTACTGCAATGCTAACAATGAAGTAAAGGTTTGCGCTTTGTCTGAGGCCGTGGGTATCTTGAGGAAATATGGCTTTTGTTATAACTCTTAAAATTGAAACAAGGACACCTGCGGTATACAAAATAGATTTTAGCAGGAAGAAATTTGTCTAAAACATATACAATGAAGCTGAATTAAAAGGCCAACTGGAAAACAGCGTCTCAATCCATAAAATATATTGCACTCAATTTTTAAAACTTAGTTATCGAAAAAGTAAGCACGATCTCGTTAGTAAATACCATAATCAAATAACTGAACATACAAGTATATATTTTCAACAAGTTGACAAGGCCGTGTTGTGTATTCACATTCAGTTTGATGCAGAGAACAATTTTAAGTAAATACCATAGTCAAATAACTGAACATACAAGTATATAAAGTAATTTGGACAGGCCACTAGATAAATGTCATGCCATTAGTATACAACAAATCTTACCACATGTGTTAACAAGATTGAGAACCACATTGAATCACATCTCAGAAGGATCAAGTTACGCTTGATCTTAAAGTCACTTTCGCTCGGTCCAGACAGAGGGTAATCAAAACTCATTAAATACCAAGTCAATAGAGCTCCACTGATACATAAAGCACCAAACTATAGGCTCCCCTCCACCTATTCACCTATTTCCACCAAACCCAACTAAAAGCATCCTCTACAAACCAATTAAAACGAAAAAAAGGGCAACCCAATGGCTGCTAACAATCTAATAAGGTAAAGAAACATCACGGCACACAAATATTAAATATAGAGAAGAAATATGAAACCAAGAACCCGACCATCATGACACTAAACCACCCAAAAAAACAAAATCAAATTCAAAAGACCAAATTAAAAGTCAATACCAGAAGCAGCAGTTCCAGCAACCACAGCCTGCATGTACCTCTCAGGCAATTCCCCTGCATTCCCCACAACACCTCCCTGCACCAATCCATCCGCCACTCCACACAATGCCACGAAACCCACCGTTGCATAATAGCCACCGTAAACCCCAACTCTTCCCTCCACATACCAAACATCCATCAGAGGTACAGCCAGCAGCGCCACCAGGAACAACACATACCCGACATTGATCCTCACATATGAGTTGGATCTGTGAGCGAACGCGATGATGAAGACAACGGACGTGAGCCCCACGAGCATATAAACTACGGCGAACACGCGGTCGACGGAGGCACCCGGGTAGAGGTAGGTGAAGTAATCGACGGCGGTGATGAAGGCGTTCCATGGAAGGAGATAGCCCGCGCCCAATGTGAAGTATATTATGTAAGCCAAGTGGAACGCATCTTTGGGGATCTTATCCGGATTGGTTGACTTGGGGATCAAGAGGGTCGCCGATTCGGAGTCGGCGGAGGCTGTTGTTATGCCCATCGCCGATTGGCTCCGCCGATTGGACTTTCTGGCAAATTGGGATTAGGTGAATCTGCAGATATGAGAAATTTATGAATAAAAAATGTGCTCTTCAACTTGAAAGGATAATAATTTTCTGCGTAACTAGTAGCTGCGAATTTGAAAGAAGGGATTTTGGAAGACTTCAAGTGGAGGGGATTTATACAGTTAGGGTCGGTTTGGTTGAAATTTAGTATTGTGCATGATTATATCACATTCGGGCTTCAGTTAGATTCCAATTGATTGTATCCCCTTTATAGTCTTGTTTGGTTGATAATCTACATTAATTTGCAACCAGCCCATTAAGTTATTCTTTTATTTGGTTCAAGAACGAAATAAAATATATTTTCTCCAATTGACCCCATCTTCTTCAACAAACAATCATACAAATAACCAAGATATAATTTGCAACCCAAATAATCCAAAGAGGTAATGCCTATTTGCACTATACCAATTAAAAAAAAAGCTCAACACAATTAATTGGACGGGCCTGTTCATGTCGGATAAATCCAATTACTTGAGGAATAAATTGTTGCTCAAATCCACTGGCATAGGGACGGAGAATAAATTGTTGCCCAAATCCAAGTACTTGAGGAAGGGAAAGTTCAGATCCTCCACGATCAGGCCGCTGAGCTTGTTCTTTCCTAGGACGAGCTTCTCGAGCGAATCGCCCTGAGAGGTCGATTCCAGTGACGAGCCCGCCGGTGATTTTGGGGAATCGGCAGGCAGGGGGATGACGGCAAGATCTGCCCAGGAATCGAGCATCGGATGTTAGACCGCCCTCATTGTAATTGATGAATTATAGGATGAGGGAGATGACGGCAAGATCTGCGAAACCCTATGTTAAATAATTTATTTTCTCCATAGCCTTCTCTTTCTCTCTTTGATGCTTTGGATCGAAAGACATTGAGGAATGACAGAATTAATTTTCTCTATGTCCACTTAAATAAAATGATAAAATAAAATGATAAGACATCCCTCACTAGAGTTGGGATACGTAGTACCGAAAAGTGGGAAAAAAATAGCGGGCCTTGGTCATATCACAGGCTTTTTTGTTCTCAACCAAACCACTTAAACGTGGTGATATAATATCATTTTGCAGGATATCAAGCCCAATATGGGCAACCAAACGGACCCTTATTAAACTATGCCAGAAATCGATCCGGGCATGTCTCCGAGTCACCGATTAAATTGCCGAGTCGCTGGGTCAATTGCTGAACTGGATAATTAATTTTAAAATTTTTAAAATTATAAATATAGTATTTTTGGTATATACATGTACATACAAGTAAAAAAAATAAATGTTTTATATATAAAATTTGTGCATAAAAGTCTTAAAAGATTTGTATCTCACAATAATAATTTCAATATCAATATATTACATAATTTTTATTTTTAATATAAAAAAATATTTAAAACAAAATAAAAAGAGTATATAGGGACCGGGTCAACCGGGTTGACCCGACCGGGTCAATGACCCAGGTCAAAGGCCAGGTTGGCGGGGTTTTGACCGAGTTTAACCGGGTCCATTGTTACCCGGTCCAAATAGCCCACCCAGATCGATTTAGGCTCTAGGTCGACCGGGTCCCGAGTCGACCCGTCGGGCCAGTCCAAGTTGAAAAACAATGATTTTATATATCTCTGTTATCTTGTATGAAATTGTATGCGGCCTTTAAGAGGCCGACATGTGGCGTCATGCATTTACTGAAAAGTCCTTAATTATTTTTTTTATTACTATTTAAAGCTCACAAAACGATCGTTTTTGGTTCCTTACTTGTAAGGCGACGAACCTAGAGGTCATATTCATTCCATAATTTTCTCTTCTCAAATCTTACTGTTGAGATCGTTTATCAAACGTAAAGAAAATGTGTTAACCTGCACTAAAATGGTCGTCGGTCGACACGAATTTGGTGCTCGAAAACGAGCGATTTTTTGTTATTTTATTGCATAATAATCATAGCTTCATAATACAAGAATACTTGAGCAAGAAAAAATACACAAGTCTCTTACGGTTCATAATGCATTCAAAATAAAAACTACAAGGTAACGGGTCCAAATTGTCTTCAACTTGTCCAGGTGCATGGTCTGTCGCAACGCTAGACTTCAAAGAGCTTGAGTCTCTGTTGGCTCGTGGTCGCCTTCACGACGTGAGGAAGTCGCGATGTCGGGGCGTGGCGGTTCTCGCGGCGCGACGCCTGGGTCGTCTGCCCTCTCTGTTGCCTCGTGAACAGCATCGCAGCGGCGTGAGGTGCTATTGTTGCGGCATGCGTGGCCTTCGCGGCACGACGTCTGGGTCGATTGTCCCCTCTGTTATCTCGTGAACGACCTAGCGGCGCGGCTCTCTCGTGAGGTGATGGTCTCGCAGCGTGCGCGGCCTTCGCGGCGCGACGTCCCCAATCTGAGCCTCTTTGATATGAGTACGTCGGGCACGGTTATACGCATTCTTGAGGAGCCGACCCTCATTCTCATCATTCTCGTCCCCTTCAAGTATGTCCTTGTCCTCAAGGATAATGTTCAGAAATTGATTGCAAATGTCTTGCAAATTCTCCCAAGTCGCCTCCTCCTCCGACAATTCACTCCATTCGATTAAGACTTCCCAAAGAAAGCGCCCGACCCACTTTATTCTCTTATACTGTAATGCTCGTTGAGGTCGCACACTGATCTGTCCATCCCCGTTTACCTCCGGTAACCGAGTTTGGGCCTCATGATCATCACTTAAGTTCTTTTTGATTGGGATACATGGATAACTGGGTGAATTTAAGACTCTGTGGGTAATTCGAGTTTGTATGCCACCTCGCCTATTCTCTCCATGATGTTATACGGCCCATAAAATCAACTCCCTAGCTTGTATAATGACTTATGAAAAATTGTTTGTTGACGGTGTGGCCTTAACTTTAGATAAACCCAATCACCTGGCACAAATTTCTCCTCCTGGCGTCCTTTGTCGTAGTACTCTTTTATGCTATTAATAGATCCGAATAAATTTTGTTTGAGCTCTATAATCAGTAGATCCCGTTCCATTAAATCTTGATCTACCTCGGCATTTGGAGATTTTCCTACCGGATAACTAACAAGCATAGGGACTGCTCGTCTGTACACCAATTCAAATGGAGTAAACTTGGTAGATGCATGAAAAATGGTATTGTACCAAATTCGACCCAAGGTAAGAATCCTTCCCATTTTGTGGGAAATTAGTGGACAAAACATCGAAGGTATTGTTCAATTGTACGGTTAATTACCTCGGTTTATTCATTTGTCTGAGGGTGGTAAGCCGAACTCATAGCCAGCACGGTCCCCTGCATCTTGAAAAATTCTCTCCAGAAGTTGCTCATAAAAATCCGGTCTCGATCAGATACAATAGACTGTGGTACTCCATGTAACTTTATCGCGAACTTAACAAATAGTTTCGCTAGGGATTACCACAAAAATTCTGCAGGTACATTCCCGACGGTTCAGGCAGATCGAAGCTCACTTCAACCGGTTTGATCCAAATCTAGGAGATGACCCATCAGATACAATTAAGACTACAAAGCCAAATATATGTTGGTGGGTTGAACAAAATAGGAAAAGAATATATAAAGGTATAAAATATATTGAATAATTTAGGATAGATGATAATTTTGTCCAATAAGTTTCGCAATTGTGCAACAAATTTGATAAATTCTTATTTAAACATAAGTTTTTACGAAATTATCTATTTATATATATTACTAAAGTGCACGTGCAATACACGTTATTTATATTTCATATTTTGTATGAAATACACGTGCAATACACGTGCACTTTAGTCTAGTCTAGAATTTGGTACTACCAAATTTGTGGGCCTCCAGTCTTACCAAGTAACAGCTGTTACGAGTATAACAAAATTCAGATTTAATGAGCTATTAGCCAATACCGCAAGTTGATGGGGTCAATCTCTTGCCCTTTTAACCTAACTTTCAATGACTTGACATACGAACAGTATTGACTAGTGATATTGGAGTCTTTGGTTGACACGCCAATAATGTTATAATTTGTTAACATAATGAGTGATATAAACTATGTATAAGAGTAGAAATTGTTTATTTTAAAGTGGATGTGATGTGTAAAACTGCACAATCTTACCATGTTCGTATTATGTTACTATAGCATAATCCATTAAACACAGTTCACAGATAAATGGAAATAAAGTATCTAATTTATACATTTTTCAATGACTGTACATACCAAGATATTGATATTGTAGATAAAATGTAATTAAAATTGATAATACACAAGATTCTAAAAAAGAGGGGAAAAAAAAAGGAAAAGAATGACTCATAGTTCATAAATTACCATCTAAGTCCAATTTTGTAATTTTTCCAGTTGTTTGAACTCAACAATCAAGTGTAGTCGAATTTCATGCAACTAGATATGTCAAGTTGGCTGCATTTATGAAAGATTCTTGATACATTTATATCAACTAGTATTCGACCTTGTGCATTTGCACAGATGTAAATAAAATTAAATATTATAAATTATATTTATGTATATAATATAAAAATTATAAGTTATATAATTGTATTATATTTCAAACATATAGTATTATAAGTTATATTTATGTATATAATATTAAAATTATAAATTATATAATAGTATTATATTTTAAAATTTGAACATTGGTTAATAAATAGTACACACGATTTGATTGTATACGAATCACTATATTGATTGCATAAAATGCAATAAATATATACTTTTTATAATTTTGAGTGATCATGACCAATTAATTAACTGAAAAATATTACATTTATTATAACAATTGCTTATGTGATTTTAAGAAATTTTACTATGACATAAAAAAAATTAATTTATTAATAAACAACATCTTCATCATATAAAAAAATATTGATTTTAGTGTAGAATATAATTTTATGTAACTTTCATATATTATTTAGTATAAAATATAATTACTAATTTTAATATTAACTATTATATTATTCAATAAAAAATATAATTATTAATAAATTAACATAAAATATAATAATTTTTGTCTTAATTAACCCAAAAAATGTAATGAAATATTTTCTTATTAATGAGATTGGGTGTATTAATGCCAGATAAATAAAATTTATTAGGTCCTATTTATTAGGTTTTATTAATGATTTGCCACATAGGTAAAATTTATTAAGTTTTATTTATTAGGTAAAATTTATTGCTTAGCTAGCAATTATATAAATATAGATATAGATTTACGCATAAACTTCCCACTCTAGGATGAAGTGTGAAGTGACTACTACTCTCTAACATTCATACATGAGACCAGTAAAATAACACCACTCAAACATGTACATGATATTCTTGACACAATAAAATAAAATAAGATATTTATCATTTCATTGTTAATCAAAAAAACCTCATGTAGCTCCTCTCACTCACATCACACGAGACCATTACTAAGTTAAAATTTATCATTTTTGAGTGCGATCTGATAACCCGCTCACATGCCCAGTATTCTAAAACCAGGTTAGGTGCCCTCCTAGGCAGCAATCGGGAGCCCTGATTTTCCATCGAACGGTCCTTCTAGGTGATCATGTAATTAGCCAATCGGTTACGAAATTAATCAACTAGACTATTTAGGCGGTACAGGCCGCCTAATTTTTTTATATATATTTTTATTAATTTAATTTCAAAATATAATAATAATATATTTATATTTTTATACATCAAATGTATGATGTTTATAAAATTAATTAATAATAACAACAGTAATTGTGTAAAATTAATTTCAAAATTATAAATACATCATATTTTCAAAAATCTTTGTATTTAACCATACTATTTAGTATATTCTATAAAATCTATTTTATTTAGTAATATATACATGGCTTATAAATAAATTTATTAACATTTTTAAGATCACTAGGCCCCAACTAGCCGCCCAGCAAGCGCTCAATACCTTTAAGAAACTTGCACATACCACAAAAACCCATTTTTTTCATGTTTTTTTCTTATAAACTAGCAATAGAATCAATCTTTTCTTTTAGCTTTTAAAAATACTGATAAAACATTTGGTAACATGTCATGCAGGGTCCACATAAACTACAAACCAACCAAGCAATATGGGGTCACAAATTAAATGGAAAAAAGGATACAGCCAGCTTGCAACAACTAAGCACAACCTTCTGCTGAGATTCCTGCAAAATAAATAGCACAACATTCCCATAATATTTCTCATAAGCTCCCATGATTTCCTCACACATGGCTCCTCTTTACCATCCCAATTTTCTCCTCACAAGTCTTCTAACTCTTACCAAGATCATCCTGATTTACTCGCGTGGGCCCGTCTACACGCCTCCAGCTGTCGAGAGATTAACAGACTCTTTCGCTCGATTATCGGTTAATCAGAGCTATTACGTGTCATATGGAGGGAATAATGTGCATGTGACTGGCAATGGGACTAGTGTCAATCTCAGCTTAGACAAGTCCTCAGGTGAAAAACAGAATATCTCATCTTAACTGTGACAACATGTTATTCAAGGCCATTTTCTTGTTCATGTGCTTTATTCTAATTTTGTTTGGTACCTTCATAGGATCTGGGCTGATGTCTAAGAATAAATATTATTATGGCTTCTTCAATGCTGCCATCAAACTGCCTTCTGGTTTTACATCAGGAGTTGTGGTGGCATACTATGTAAGCTCCCCTTTTCTTCCATACTTTATTTCAAGATAGTTTTGTTCCTCCGAAAAATATTCAAACTGGTATAAGCTTTAGTCTAATTAGAGAAAGAAAAACAGTTATCTTAGTTCTCCACTCATGTCACGACAAATGGCCCCTCAAAAAGAGTATACTATGTAATATTGAAACACTATTCTTGAGCAGTTCTTTACTTAACACAGAAATTTCAGTAAAATTTAGTATCTATTTATGTTTCGCCCAAAGGAACAAACATCTTTCAAGATTCTCATTTGTTTCTTTTGCTCTGCATTTCAGTTATCTAATGCAGATATTTACCCTCACAACCATGATGAAATTGACATTGAACTTCTTGGTCACGAGAAGAGACGAGATTGGGTCCTTCAGACTAACATATACGGTAATGGAAGTGTAAGCACAGGTAGAGAAGAAAAATTCTACCTCTGGTTTGATCCCACGCAAGGCTTTCATGACTACAGCATCCTTTGGAACAATCATCACATAGTGTAAGCATGAACTGACAAAACAACTTATATTGTACATGCTTTGCAGCAAATCAAATAACATAACTAGAACCACTACTAAGGTTACGATAACATTAAACATGTTAAGCTACAAGTTCAATGATTCATTGGTCGAACGGTGATTGGACCACTGTTTAATTTATTAATATTTTGAATTATTACATAGTACTTTCATGAATTTACATGAAAACATCATTAATTAAATATTTAGATAGTTTAGAACATGTAAATCTCTAAACTAATTGACTTAATAGTTGATACATATTCCATATATTTATTAATGTACTTCTAGTTATGATAACAATTATGTGACCGGTTCCTGGTTGACCAACCAGTTTGTCTGATTCTAAAAACTACGATTACTACCCTCAATTAGGGAAGGGAAAAAGAAGCTAATCCATTTAACAAATTACAGCATAGTGGAAAGGGTAGTGGGAAAAATAAACTCAAATGAAATTCTTTGTTCAACTTTATATATACCACTTTTTGAATTTGACAAGGAAAAAGCATGCAGGTTTCTTGTGGATAACATACCTGTAAGAGAAGTGATTCACAATAATGGTGTCTCCTTTGTCTATCCATCAAAGCCAATGTCGATTCACACCACAATATGGGACGGATCCGAATGGGCAACCCACGGAGGCAAATACCCTGTAAATTACAAATTTGCCCCTTTCGTGGTCTCAGAGACAAGAATCCAAATGGAGGGTTGCATTGCAAATAAAATAACTACGTCTTCTTCGTGTTCGAGGAGCAGCCTCTCGAGCTTAGACCCTGTTGATGGTGAACGATTTGCAAAGTTATCGAGCCAACAGAAAACGGGCCTGGATTGGGCTAGGAGGAAGCACATGTTCTACTCATATTGCCAAGATAAGCCCAGATACAAAGTTATGCCACAAGAATGCAATGCAACACACTAGAAGCTAGTGCATATCATTTATTCTTTTGCAATTATTCGTACATGAAACAGGATAAATGGAAGGAAGTTTGCAATATACAGACTAATGCTAGTCGAAATGAAAATCTCCAAATGTCATTAAGATAGAAGTTTAAGATAATTCAAATAATTATTACACTGATACATATCAATCCAACTGCATGATTAGATGAACAAATATGATTTTTGGAAACTACAATACAACAACAACAACAACAACTACAATACCCCCTCAAAATCAGTAACAGCAACTGAAGTCTGTTTCTGAGGGGGTTAGAGGTTTAAGATAAGTCAAAAAATATTGCACTGATATATACCAATCCAACTCAAGATAAAATGAACAAATATGATTTTTGGAAACTACAATTACCCCCTCAAAATCAGTAACAGCAACTGAATTCTGTCTCTGAGGGGGTCATTTGTAAAATCCTAACATATATGATGCATCAACAGGTATCTGGCACTATTTGTAATTACTTCTGTAGATCGAGTAAACCTCAAGGATGATTTTTGCAATCAACCCAAGTTCTTTCTTTACTGTTGAGGAGGGGAAGAGACGACCATAAGACTAGATATAATATTCTTTCTTTCAACCTGAGGTGGGAAATTATTGGACCACAAAAACAGAAACTTTCAAGCCAAACACAAGGATAAGGTACACTGCAACACTGTTCATCAATCACAATTATTGGGGCATCAAAAATCAAAAGGAAACCCAAATATGACAACAGAAACAGGCGAAATTCTTTCATCATCATCTCCCTTTTTAACTGCAAAGGGCAGTCCAACTCTTGAAAGCATATACTTTGTGGAGCTTACAGCCATGCTGGGTTTTCTAGTGAGGTAACAACCGCTTTCACTTGCAAGTAATTCTTCAGGCTGTACTCTCCTTTCTCCCTCCCAATCCCGCTCATTTTATAGCCACCAAAAGGTATTGTTGCATCAAAGGTGTCAAAGCAGTTAATCCACACAGTCCCAGCTCTCAATGCTCTCATCAGCGTATTAGCAGTGTTAATGTTATGAGTAAAAACGCCAGCAGCAAGTCCGTACCTTGTGTTGTTGGCCCTCTTAATCACATCATCCAGCTCTCTAACAAATTGCAAAAAAAGTAATGTCACTAACTTAATAGCTAAAAGCCCAATTGCTTGGCATTTTGGGATAACTAAAAGAAAT